AAGGCAAAACTACAGAGACAGTACAAAGGTCAGTGGTTAGGGGGGCAGGGGAGAAAAGAGATGAATAGCAGGAGCATAGGGGATTTGCAGGGTGTGAAATTTTCTGTATGATATTATGATGTTGGATACATGACATTATGCATGTATGACATACCCACACACTGTATAACATAAAGAGTGAACTCGAATGTAAACCATAGACTTTAGTTAATAATAACATATCAATATTGGTTCATAATTGTGACAAATGCACCACACCAATGGAAGACGTCAGTAATGAGGGCAACTATGAGGAGGAGGGGTAGAAGGAGTGTATATATGATAACTCTCTGTGCTTTATGCTCAAATTTTCTTAGTTAACCTAAAACTGCTATAAAAAATAAAGTCTATTAAAAAAATCTCAAGATGGTCCGAAGAGGAAAAAAGACTGGTTAACCTGAATGAACAGAGAAGTGATTCCATATTATAGAATGAAGTGAATTACTACTATCTCACACATGTTAGTGTACTACAGCATAGTTTTAATTGAAATAATAGGTGTATAATAAAACACCAGGAAGATTAGTGTAGAATTAACTTTATTTTAGAATTGGAAGGGACCCTAAGGATGAATAAAAAGGTTTAGATAAACTTAGAAATTAACCAACTGTGACTATCAAACATTCCAAATTACTCTGAGAAGAGAAAACTGTTTTGTTTCTGCTGGGGCAAAGTGAATGTGTTAAAGTGAGTGCTGTGGAAAAAACATGTTCCAGTCTCTATGGATGCAATAAAAACTCTCTTGCCATTTTTATTTATGTTAACACATTAGAATATAGCCCAACTTACTACATATGTCTGTACCTAAATGGTTTAATTTAGCCAGTGCTAATCTTATAGGTTCTTTGAGGGTTTCTAAAGTGATTTCTTTTTTAAAAAATATGTTTTTATTGATTTCAGAGAAAGAGGAAGCGGGGAGACGGAGAGGGAGAGGAAGAGGGAGAGGGAGGAGGAGCGGGAGAGGGCAAGAAACATTGACTGCTCGCCTCCCATATGCACCTTGATGGGGTTTGAACCCACCATCTGGGTACGTGCCCTGTCTGGGAATCGAACAAGTGACCTTTCAGTGCAGAGGAAGATGCTCAACCAACTGAGCCACAGTGACCAGGGAAAGCTATTTCTTTATCAATAAAAGTGATCCATATCTTTTCAAATATTTTAAAACTCAGGGCAATAAGCATTGTACTGGCTCATTAGAGAGCTGGTACAGTCTGGGGTTCAGAGTGTGCGTGGTGGAGTTAGACTGCCTAGGTTCAAGTGCTGGTTCTACCACTTGTTGGCTGGGTAACCCTGGGTAATGTACTTAACTTTCCTTGGCCTTTGTTCCCCCATATGTGAGGTGGGGACAATAGCAATACTTACCTCATGATGAATTAATGCACATAATCATTTGTGTAGGGCCTGGCATACAGACCTCAAGTGTTAACTGTTATTAGTCCTTATAAACTGATTTTAGGAGACCACACTTGTATGTCATTTTTGGGATCATCTATGACAACCCATCAGGCCGTGGCAACATGAAGATACCTCTATGGTAATACTTCTGCTACTTTGGGGTAATTAAATGGTAACATGGTAGACTCCTCCTCTAGGTACAGTGAGAGCAGGAGCCAAATCTTAGTTATGTTTATCAAACTGCATATAATGAAACATTTCTCAGAACAAGAACCCACAGTGATTTACTTCTTCCTGGGACAGAAATTTCAATTTCAGCTACAATGCATACTGTTGAATTGAAAACTTCTTTTTTTTTCAATTTAGAGAGTAAGCCAGGTAAAGTTTGAATCTACAATACTTTGGTCTAAAGATCTTACTGTACATCATCATCTGTGTCCTAAAGTATTTCCCCTGAGGAGACTGATTATACTGGGACTTTGAGCTGAACGGCCAGAAAACAGAGAAAACAGCAACTTGAGGTTCAACCTGAAAATTAACTGCACGGTGAGATCCACACCGTTTTTAGTTGGCGAGAGTTCTAATTCACAACCCAGTAGTCCCTGATAGCATCAAATCCACGCTTCTGATTTTGAAAGGCTCTGGTGAATCCAGCGAGTGCAACTTTAGCTCCCGTATCAAAGGCTGATACTTATTCAATCAAGATGGGGAAATAAGGGTTTGAGACATTCTAAGAAGCAATAAAGCTCCCATTTTCATGTAAACCACTCAAAATAACCACCTAGAGCAGCAAACCAGAAGAACGCCCTAAAGAAGAATGGCCTGTAAATCGGCAGCCTTTTCAGTTTCATTTTAAGCAACAGACAAGTATTTAACAAAATTATTCTCCACTGAGACTATTAAAATGGCTTTGCCATTGCTTAGCGGAATGAAATTTCAGACCCACTTAATTTCAAGAAATTGACTGAAATTCAAATCACAGATCGGGTGTATGTTAAATGGTGCTATGAGCTCTACCCACTATTTATGCTGATTATAGCATTGAAGTAGCTGGACTCAGATAATTGAGTTAAGAGTATGAAATCAGAAATGCCAAGTTAATTTCTTAGGTATGTTCACGAAGAGTGCTAACATCATTACAGGGCTTGATGATTGAAAAACATTCCCATTTTCTTTTTGTGCCCTGGTGACATCATTTAGATGATATATATTTAGAATATAGGTTTTCCAGAATTATAAAACCAGGAGGAACCCTGAAGGGCTTCTCGCCCAATGTTCTCATTTTCTCAGTAAGAAAATGAGGCCCAGGAGAAGTTGGAGAACATAATAAATGCTTGGGCTCTGGGGTCAGATGGATCTGAGTCCCAGTTCCAGATGGGCAAATTCTTCACTGTGTGACCTGGGGTCAGTTATTTAACTCTATAAACCAAGCATGTCAAACTCACAGCCTGCGGGCCACATTTGGCCCACAATGAATATTTTTGTGGCCCAGCCAATATAACGGTATGTAAGAAATGTTTTAATAAAAATTTTGTAACAACTTTTACAATATCCTGTATACATAATTATTAATAACAAACTACAATGTTCGCTAATGACTGATTACTATAATCGTGTTGCATTCATTTCCCTTACACGCCTTACTCGTAGGCGCACCATTTCTCTCCACTAATACTAGCAGCGAATATTTTAGCAGGCAACTGCCACGTCATTAGTCTTGGACTGACTTGTTTGGTATGCGCAACAGGAAATATTTTGCTTTCGGAGAACAAGAAAAATAGGTTTATTTGTGTTATACTTATTAATGTGTGCAGTTATTCAGTGTCTGCTAAGTTAATGTTCAAGAAAAAAATATTAATTTTTATTAAAATGTTCTATTATTTTATGTTAATGATTACTCATTTATTTTAGCCCTTTGTATTCAGCATGTCTCTATCGAAATAAAACTTCGTTTCTATGAAAATTGAAGCTTTTGGTTTTTTTTGTGGCCCACATAAACTTAAACCTTGTTTATTTGGCCCGTGTGAGCCTTTGAGTTTGTCATGCATGCTCTAAGCCTCAGTTTCTCCACCTGTATAATGGGGATAATAGTCGTACTATCTTATAGGGGTGTGATAAAGATGAAATAAGATGAACATGCACAGGACTCAGCACAAATATGGGCACATTGTAACTACTCAGTAAATGTTAGCAGTTATGATAATGACTAAAAAGTGACTCATGAGCCAGGTCAGCAGCAACCAAACTAGACTTAGAGTTCCTAGAACAGAGGTCCTCAAACTTTTTAAACAGGGGGCCAGTTCACTGTCCCTCAGACCGTTGGAGGGCTGGACTATAGTTCTAAAAAAAACTATGAACAAATTCCTATGCACACTGCACATATCTTATTTTGAAGTAAAAAAACAAAACGGGAACAAATACGATATTTGTATTTGCATGTGGCCTGCGGGCCGTAGTTTGAGGACCCCTGTCCTAGAACATACCAGAGCTTTTTTCATAAACACAGTCCCTGTAATAAAGGCTCACTGACGCTGACAATTTACATATAACTTCTGCATCAAGTAGAAAGAAAACTGTTTCAGGCTATCTGCTACTGAATTGGTCAAAATATTAGGTCAGCGATCACATCCTGAGATCTCAATTTCATGAAGACTCACTCACATTTAGCTTTCTATGAACAATGGGTATTACATATTTACCTTCATATCTGTTTTTAGTTCAATTATATGCTTTTAAGTAACTCCCACCAAAAGCTGCTAATATAAAATAAATGACAAGGCATCTGGCTGAAAATAAAAGTTAGGGTTCACTCAGTAATGATGTTAAATCTGACTCCCGTTAGTTGCTTCGTGGAATAAGTCCAATATTCTTAATTTGTACTGTCAGTCAGCTATTGCTCTAACCCCTATCCATCTGCTATGGAGGAAGCAAGACTAAGGGACTCTCGGAAGAAAGAGCTAGTGTGGCTCTGCAGTGTGAGAGTTGGATTGGCTGGTACAGACTCCAAGGAATCCTGCAGCCACCAATCACAGATGTCTGGAATGGCCAGTTCTGTCAACATTCACTGTTATGATATGATTCAATGCAGAGTTGAATGTGTTTCTTATACTTAAAAAGAATAATTAAGAAGCCTCATAAAGAATATTAGCTTTATAGAACATGTTCCCAGTACTTCTGAGTTTGATAAGTTTTAGTTAATTGGCAGCCTTTTCAGAAAATCAGTACGTAGACTGTCAAGTGGGTGCTGAAAACATTTTTCTTGTAATAAACTAAAGATCATTTTTTCCTCCTAATCTGGACAATGATCCATGTATATACAATTTGTTTTAGATCTTTAAGTGTAAATGTCATACATATAAATATATCAAAAAGACATCATCTCAAACTATAACGAGATGAGCTCAAGTATAAACAAGAACAAGGCCCGAACACCTTTTCATGCAACACCAGTGTGACTCAGCAGACCAACAGATGAAGAAAATAGTAATGTGAAAAGTGGCAATTTGCATCCATACCCAGTATTTAGTATTTCAGTGATTAGAAATAAAATTGTTTGGCAAACTTACCCGCATTTTTGCACAAGCATCTTGGGTTGATTCTGTCCCCCTGAGCTCTTTAATCAGCATAGAACCTAAATACTAAAACACACACACACACAAAAATCCAATGACTTATAAGTACAAATATGAGCAGCGATTTAAAAACACAGTGTGAAAGTACCATTGGCTAGCTTTCCTGGCTGTGAGTTGGTGCACAACTTTTAAGAAGGAACAGTAACTAATCCTAACGAATCAAGACTTCTGTAGAGAGGACACAGCGGAGTTAACTACAGTTCCGAAAGCTGTAAACTGCTCTTCATAATAAAACTGCAGCATTCTCTAAAGACACCATCTTTCACATCATATTTAACTGCAAAATGGGGGCATCTAAAAATGTTTTCCCTGTGTTTTTTTGAAGCAGCAATGTCTGCAAAAATAAATCATGCTGCCGTCTATGTAATTACAGGGTTGTATGAGACAGCTGAGGAGCTGAGCCACAGGCACCCCATTTGGGCTTAGTCGGCTGCTTAGGTAATTAATGTTAGGCTGTTCCAAGGCAGAGATGCCTATTTTGGACCCTTTCCTTCACAGCTGTGTGGCCTCTGATGGTTGACCCACCTGAGAAGGGGATGGGAGCCTGTGGGGAGGGACAATGTCACCTTGGTTGTTCAACCAAGGAGGGGGCCCTGGTGCAGATGAACAGTGGAGGGCTGAATGGGGTACCAGAAGGCTGGGAAGCTCTCTTCCTGGAATCACCAACCACTTAGATCTTAGGTGATGGGATCCCATACTGCCTTAGTACAAAACACCACCACGCCCCAGGTTCTAGCTGGAGCAAACACGTCTATGTTAGCAAAATGTTTATTTCACCTTGCTATCAAGGGACTCCTCAACTATTTTTTTGTTGTTGTTGTTAATCCTCACCTGAGGATATTTTTCCATTGATATTTAGAGAGTGGAAGGGAGGGGGAGAGACACAGAGAGAGAAGCATTGATATGAGAGAGATACATCGATTGGTTGCCTCCCGCATATGCCCCAACCAGGGACAGGGATGGAGCCTGCAACCAAAGAACATGCCCTTGACCGGGATCAAACCTGGGACCCTTCAGTCTGCAAGCCAATGTTCTATTCACTGAGCCAAACCAGCTAGGGCACTCCTCAACTTTTTGAAGCTTCAGTAGGGTTCTTTCCATCTGTCATTTTTCCTTCTCTAATTTTCTTCAGAGAAAAAAAAAGAGCTCTAGGTATGTTTCATTTTAAGTGAATTAAGGTAATTATTTTCCTGACATGACTGAGGAGACCCTGGCACTCTCTAAAAACAGGATTGGCAACCAGTCCTGCAGCCTGGGAAGTCCCGGCGAGCAGAGGATGGGCAGGGGCACAGCGTGGTCAAAGGCTCTGAAGAAGGCATGTTCAGAAAGTCTCCAGGATTTGGAGGAAGAAGGGGGCATTTCACTCCTACAGATTTTGGGAAATGACTACTGAAATAAATCCCATGTTTCAAGATAAGCAAGCAGTAAAAGAGGTGCAGATAACACCAAGTGGAAAAAAAGAAAAGCCTAAACTGCTCGAGAAAACCAGAACGCCCACATCTTAATTAAGGAAAAAACGATCTTGGTGAAATCCTTATCTTTTAAGGTATCAGGAAAGTTTGTCCTAATTGAAACACTTGTGAGGCAGTTTCAATGTGCTGCTGAGGGTTCAGCTATGTTTCCTGCTGTAGTCATGACAACCACCTGCCCCCAAACCTATGGTATCTTTTGATCAATTACCCGTTCAGATTACTCACAATTCTCAGCTAAGCTTGATTCCCTCTCCTATTAAAAAAAATCCTTAGTAATATAATCCTACTGATAACAATGAGGAGAGGTTGGAATTTTTATAAGGCGGTAGACCCAATGTTTTGAGACCACTGGTGAATGGAGATGTCTATATGTGCTATATTGATACTCATTTCCATTTTAAAATTTCAGTGTACAACGTTTTATTTAAAATATACAATTATATAAGAAGGGAAAACAGATCTTAAGCTTCTACGATTAAAAGGGTTATAAAGCTCTATGTATTTGGGGAGATCATTTTAGGAAGATGGGCATTTTGGTATATTTTCAAATAAAATAAAGAAGCCAAAAATATACCCACTATCCCTACTCAGACCCAAATACTGAATTCAAGGTAACTTACAAAAGCTTTGTAATCACACGACTGGAAGATGAGCTTTTCTGGGTGGTGCTGCCAATACTGAACTGGAGTTGAGGCCGTAGCTTCATTTGGAGGGCGCAAGGTAATGGAAGGTTCTCCCCAGTCTCCTGTCTGAAAATCACATTTATTCCAGAGGTAATATGAGCAGTCGGCAAAGTTCATTCCCTGTGGCTAGCCCGAGTTCACCATATACACAGGTGCTGCACATGTGCAAATAAATTTGCGTGTGTTATATGTATATAAACACTTCCACTGTTTATTATGGTTTTATATGTATTAGCATATTTCCCAAAGCTGAGCTAATTTTTGAGGTGTGAAAGAACTTGAGTTATTCTATTGTTAGAATGACACTGTAAGCTAAATAATTTAAAATTAAAGGTCTTTAAGATATTCATAAGTGGTTTACTAATTCATACTTTTCTGTTACAGGGGAAAGAACGCCTAATCTTTGAAAGAGTTTTCTGTTTTTAAACCTGACTGTTTGAAATTTTTAGTTTGAATTGCTTTTATGTGCAGAATACTCAGTTCCATAAATATCAGTTCCCAAATATGACAGGTACCATGTCCTTTGAATAATTTTATCTCTGGAGAAAAGGCTGTATATGACACTAAACAACATTTTAGAAGAAAGATTTACTAAATGGATGATCACTCGTTTCTCTCCTGACTTCATTTGCATTGATATAATGCCACTGTGATTGTTGTGGGCATTACAATGCCATGTTTGGTCATATGTGCATATGCATGTAATTGAGGATCCTGGCTCACAAATACAAGCATATATGCATATGCTGGGCTATCATATAACACATATGCCCACTAGGGCAGACCCATCATTTGACGTATCGTTTTCCATGAGGTGAGCCTCAGCCTGTTTTATTGCTTTGGCATACCTTGGAGATACTGCAGGTTCGATCCCAGACCACCACAATCAGGTGAGTATTACAATAAAGACAGTCGCAATCTTTATTTTTTATTTTAGTCGTAATCTTTTTGCCTTTCGTTTGAAAAAAAAAATACAACATCCATGAAGCTCAATGAAGCGAAACGCAATAAAACCCAGTCTGCTTGAATACGGTTTAGTGTGAGATCTATAAAGTCAAAGGCCTGTGTTGGCAGGTCTTTTCTGGGCTCTAGTCTGATTTAGATATTACACATGGGCAATTTCTTACTCTTTCCCCTGGCCAAAATTCTGATTTTTCAAAATTCTGTTCTTTCTTCTCAAATAGACATAATTAAAACTAGACAGTAGGCAGATTTCCAAAGCCACTCTTTCCTAACCTGGATTTGACTGGTCTTATAGAATTATGAGAAATTACCTTTCTTAGGAGATGAAAGAATATAAAAAGGACACATGAGCTCCCAAACCAAGCAAAACTTTGGCTAGGGACCACGTTCCATAGATGTACTAGCATATGGGTTGACACTGTAGGATTCCTTAAGTAGGATTTTCAAGGAGTCTAGGATAACAATGCAACGTTTTCGATGTAGGTGTTTTGGAGGAGAAAGTCCATAGCTTTCACTAAATTCTCTGAAAGAATATAGAGATTCCCAAAGACTAATAACCACAATTCTCCAGGATGTGTGTTTTGGGGAAGAGGACCAGCATTCCAATTTTTTCCTGTGCACTTTGGACTTCCATTAAGTGGCCTGTAAGGTGGCTGCCAATGCTGGAACATGTTAGGCACAGGCTTTGCCTTCTGGAAGTTTCTAACTGGCTTTGGAAAACCAGAAGAAAATTCTAGAGTCCCTTGGGAATGCACAGACCTTTTCATAGAGGGAGAGAACCTGATGCTTTTCTCTTTAAGATGTGTCACCCCAGTCCCAGAAAGAGCACACTCAGTATCATGCTCTTTCCCGGGCTTCTCACTGGAGTGTGTGACCAGTCAGAACCCCTCTCACTCCTCTCTCATGTTCTAATCTGAGCTACTCTGTGAGTTCGTTTTCTTCCAGTTGCTGGTTTACATGCAGATGGTGTGGTTCTTCAATCCTCCCATCTGTGGATACTGTTAGGACTTTACCTGGGATATCTATTTTAGCTTTTTTGTCTGTTTTATGATCCATCCCTGATTCATTCTTGAGTTTTTTTCTTTACAGCTATATGAATGTTTATTATGTAAGAACCATAACTGACTGCAATTAAGTTTAGCATTAAGTTTTCCCCTGACTTCCTATTTTGATCGTTTCATTTCCTTCTTTCTCAAACATCTGGCTCTTTATTATTTCTCCAGTCTTCATTGCAACTGGCTGTGATTTGGTCTAAAAAAAAAATCCAGTATAAAATTAAAAAATGTAGGCTATGTAGATTTCAATGTTATTTTGAGGCTGAGTGTAACAACGTCTATGTGACAATCTCTCTCTGGAAACATGCAGCGATGTGTACTTAATTAAAAGCTCTCCCAACACCTATAACAGTTCATCCTCTAATCTCCCCCATTAACTTTCCCCCGTCTCCCTCCCCCTCCCCATAGAGCAACAACAACATAGCAACAGGTGTTGTACATTTAAGTCACAGGTAACACTGTTAACGGACCAACAGAAGTTTGCACACAACTCCGTGGAATGGTACAAAAGGAGCTGGTTGGCATCAAAAGATCCTTCGATCCAGCATCTGCTGAAGTGACAGCTCAAACCAAGCATCAGATCTTCACGTTAGCCCTGTCACCGTTTAGCTGAGGAACCTTGGCCGAGCTCAGCAGGCAGTTTCACAACAGCCTACACAGACAGGGCAGGAGCTGGGGGCACGATGGGTTGCAGGAGGAGGGGTGGGTGGGGCGAAGCTGGAGTTATGGGGATGTTTCAGGTGTTAGTATATTAAGCATGCAAATCATATGCAAACTCATTCTCTAATTGTTTCATTAACTCAGGCACTTTTATAATTGAACTTCAATGTGAGTTCCATACACTTAAAGCAGAACTACAGCCAAATGCTAATCCAAATATTTACATCATCCAGCATAAACTGTAGCAGCCATTTTGGGAATAACAGGCCCCAGCACATACCACCTCCATCTGGAAATCACCCCGATCTCTTATGAGATAACCACTTGAAGAAATTAGTGGCACATCCATTTAACTTTGTTTGGCAACAGCATCATCTGCTCTCTTAGGATTTCACTTTGTCCAGAAATCACAAACCACCTGCTTTGAATCCAGAGTGATCAGACGGGACCTCCCCCTCGTGGTTGGGGGAGGTAATTATAGGGAAGAGAAATATAATCCTTACTTTCTTTCTGGCCTTGAAACATTGCTCGAGTCCAAATATTTTTAAATTCTCTACGTGGCTGAATCTACCTTTCTGGAAATAGAAATTGAGTTTTGTTATACTTAGTGCTATTTCCAGAAATTCATTTTCAAACTGAGGGAAAAGTGTTCTTAATATTGAATTGGTAAGAAAATAAATTTCTTTTCTTCCTGGATATTCATCAACTTGTTTGTTTTAAACCTTAGAGCTAAGAATATTTAGAAGACTCAGCTCAGGTGTTGCGTTTTCCCTCTGGAATTAATTTAACAGGAACGGATGGACTTGGCATCACACTGTGGTGAAGGGCACATGTGGCCTTAGCCCTGGGGTGGGATTCAGCTTCCCCTGGTTGATTGACTGTAGGAACAAAAGAGTTCAGAGAACAAGGGTGCTTTAGGTCTCAGCCCTCCTGGAGGCGGAATTACAGCAGGAATGAGCTAGGAGGAGCTGGGCAGGGTACTGACTATCTGGGGTTTGGCATTATATGCAAAATGAATTCAAACTATTAGCTTCTGTTAAATAATGCATTGGTACCTAGATAATACCTGTATTTTTTCAGGTAAGTTGAAAGAACTAATAATCTTTCAGTTAAAAATGTTCACTAAATATGAAATAAAAATCAAACAGACCTAAAAGGTCTTTGGCCTCAAATAATGATTTATAATAAAACTTTATCTTTAATGAAAAGTAGATCTAAACATGGGTCCAATGAAGCAATAATGTTTAATTAGAATAAAAAAATGAAGTAGGAAATGTCTGGGGTAAATTCCGTCGTATTTTAAACTACCACTGACTGGCAGTACTCTTTAAAAAGCTTAAGTAATTACATAAGAATAATGGAAATAATTCAAGCCACTCTTCCTAAATGTGTTCAGGGCTACCTCTTTAGAGCTTAAAATACCTAGAGAAAATTTTTCTTTTAGGCTCTTGTATTGAATGATCTTAATATTTCAATAATTGGGCAATGGCTTAAAACATCATTTCCTTGGCATGTATGTATTTATTTATTTCCTTTAGGATATATCAATTATACAGAGGAAAATGTACTTTATTAACTATCCCTTCAAACTCAAAGAAAAATTAACCTTCCAAAAGAAAGAAAAAGTATAATTTGCCCAGCCGATATGACTCAATGGTTGAGCGTTGACCTGTGAACCACTGGGTCACGTTTCCATTCCCGGTCAGGGCACATGCCTGAGTGGTGGGCTCGGTCCCCAGTAAGAAAAAACAGAATTTGAGATTAGAATTTTAAATGGAGAACTGATTCTGTGTAACAGGTATTTGCCAACTGCCAACTAAAAATCCACAGTTGGGCTGAATCTGAAGGATCATAATTGGGTCCTACCCTGTACGATGTCATTAAATTAAGTGTCTCAGACCACCAGCTGAAAAACATCAAACTAGGAGCTGAATTTAGTTATAACACAGGAAAATAATTCACAGAAGTCTACAGATAGGTTTTTATTGCATGGCAGAGTCTAAAGCAGCTTTTAAACTTTGTATTATTTCAAAAGGTGGCAAAGCTGCATGGTTTTAGTACAAATGTACCAGATGCCTAAGGCAGGCGTTGAAATATTTTATCATATAGTTTTCTCCCCTAAAAAAGGAAACTGAAGATCATACATATTCTATATGCTCTGACAATACAAAGGGGGAAGCATTATTTGTATTCTTATTTTCTTCTTGAGAAAATTTATTTACTTCCTAAGGATGCCAATAAGTAAAAGCCATGGCTATGACTTAGCTTTCTAACACGACAGGAAGGCATGGTATCATCCAAGCCCTCTCTTATTTTTTTTAAAATTTATATTTTTAAATTAGAATTTAATTGGCTTTTTAAAAACTGAGGCTTTTAAATCTCTTCTAC